CTAACGTTTGATGCGTGTCTTCTGTAACACGCCGCGGTATCGACGGCGCTCCAGGTTCTGTGTACACACGACCCACGGACGGCAGCCTCCGTAATCATCTCCCACCGATCGATCGCGGCTGTGATGGTATTGATCCTACGATAAGGCCACTGGAGCTAAACTAATCACAGCCGCTGCTTCAGAACAGATACACAGCAGCTGTTTGAGGAGAGAGACCAGAGGGAGAGTTCAGAGAGAGACTAGAGAGAGAGCAGAGACAGAGCAGAGAGAGCAGAGAGAGAATGCAGAGAGAGACCAGTAAGAGACCAGAGAGAGCAGAGAGAGACCAGAGAGAGACTAGAGAGAGAGACCAGAGAGAGAGACCAGAGAGAGACCCGAGAGAGATACCAGAGAGAGACCAGAGAGAGCGGAGAGAGACCAGAGAGAGCAGAGAGAGAGACCAGAGAGAGACCAGAGAGAGAGACCAGAGAGAGAGACCAGAGAGAGACCCGAGAGAGACACCAGAGAGAGACCAGAGAGAGCGGAGAGAGACCAGAGAGAGCAGAGAGAGAGAGCAGAGAGAGACCAGAGAGAGAGACCGGGTAGAGACCAGAGAGAGACTGTGCATATGGAGAAGGTGTTCTACCGTGTCCCCCTAGTTCCTTTGGGGGTTTCTCCTAGAGTCCGGGGTCCTCAGCTGGGGGCCGTCGGGTCCCTGTGACCAGAGTCAGACCTGTGTACATCAGCCACGTGCAACAGTCACACAGTGACTGTTGGCCCCGCCCCCCAGAGAGAGACCAGAGTTGACGAGAGACCAGAGAGAGACCAGAGAGAGCCCCTCCCCTCCCCGTCTATAGACCAGAGAGAGATCCATCTTTTTACAGCCGCCCTGAGAGGAGATGAGAGAGACCAGACGAGACGAATGAGACACCAGAAGAGAGACCAGAGAGAGACCAGAGCGAGAGAGAGACCAGAGAGAGACCAGAGCGAGACCAGACAGAGAGAGACCAGAGAGAGAGAGACCAGAGAGACCAGAGAGAGACCAGAGCGAGAGAGCGAGACCAGAGAGAGACCAGAGAGACCACCAGAGAGAGACCAGAGAGAGACCAGAGAGAGACCAGAGAGAGACCAGAGAGAGACCAGAGAGAGACCAGAGAGAGACCAGAGAGAGACCAGAGAAGAGACCAGAGAGAGACCAGAGAGAGACCAGAGAGAGACCAGAGAGAGACCAGAGAGAGACCAGAGAGAGACCAGAGAGAGACCAGAGAGAGAGAGACCAGAGAGAGACCAGAGAGAGACCAGAGAGAGACCAGAGAGAGACCAGAGAGAGACCAGAGAGAGAGACCAGAGAGAGACCAGGGGAAGAGAGAGACCAGAGAGAGACCAGAGAGAGACCATAGAGAGACCAGAGAGAGAGACCAGAGAGAGACCAGAGAGAGACCAGAGAGAGACCAGAGAGAGACCAGAGAGAGACCAGAGAGAGACCATAGAGAGACCAGAGAGAGAGACCAGAGAGAGACCAGAGAGAGACCAGGAGAGAGACCAGAGAGAGACCAGAGAGACACCATAGAGAGACCAGAGAGAGACCAGAGAGAGAGTAGAGAGACGCAGATAGAGAACCAAAGAGAGAAACCAAGAGAGAGACCAGACCTCGCTGCTAGGTACCAGCTACTAGGCCCAGAGAGTCATCGCCTCCTGAGAAGATAGACCCGAGAGATCGACCAATAGTAGACCAGAGAGATGACCCAGATATAGACCATAGAGAGCATAGAGAGACCATTATAGAGACCCTATATGACAGACCCGCATAGATACCTCTAGACGTCTCCCAGCAGACCAACCTAGCCCATCTCCGGTGCTCCCATCAGATCTACCCAGACCACGGGGAGAGAGAGACCGAGAGCCCAGGCGCTAGACCAGACCAGCATGACGTCGAGCCCAGACCGACGACCCCCGTCGCTCCGCAGCCGATCATCCCCGAGGAGAGAGACCGCGGATCTCACCCCTATATAGACCCACCCGATAGCGCTGCCCAACCCATCGGCTCCCCTCGTGCGACCCACGAGCAGCCCAGATCGGCGACCACTAGCTCTCACCCCCGCGTATACGCCCATCCTACTACTTGTCACCTGCGGCCCCCGCTACCCTGCGCTCTCTGACGCATAGGCGCTCTCCCCGCGTCTCGCCCCCGCGATCCCCGGATCGATTCGCCAATATATGCCCGATCGCGCTCTCCCACACTAGAGAGCCCCCGCCGATATCCCTCTATAAGATCGAGCCATCTAGCGACCATAGTGACGCGCCCATACGTCATAGAGACCAGCTCGATACCGCGTGGATGAGCGCACCGCAGAGCGAGATTACCAGTAGAGAGACGCAGATAGATACCAGATCGCGCTACCATATCGTAGACCCGAGAGAGCCCATAGCGATACCAGATAGGAGATCCCAGAATGATGAGACCATAGATAGACCGCTATAGATTGAGCCACAGCTGCGATGAACCAGATGCTATAGTGACCCAGCTAGAGACCCCGCGAGCAACCAGAGATGATCCCGGTGTGCGCGCTCTCCCCTCGAGATACCATAGATCTCACCCGAGGACGAGACCAGTCTAGAGACCGCCTCTTAGCGCCCACTCTCGCTCCCCCGCTCGATCGACCCGCTGTAGCCTCCCCTCCTCGCCCCCCCGCGCGCATCCCATCGTCTCTACCGATGCTCGTCGACACCCGCTCCTGCGACCAGTCTCGCTCCCCGCTCGCGCCCGGCGCTCGTACTGCTCCCCGCAGCGTCTCCCGCGCTATCTCGCCCGCCGCGATGCTGCCCATCTCGCTCGCCCATATCGCATCTACCATACGCGACCGCAGAGAGACCCTCTGAGATACCCCCTGAACTCGCGCGCCCCAGAGATCGACCAGAGATTATACCATTAAGTAGAGATACCCAGCTCTAGCTGTAAACCCTAGATCGCCCCGTGTCTTCGAGACCCTATGATCGACCCGGCGCTTCCTCGCTCTGCTCGCTCACCCTAGAGCTAGCCCCTGTAGAGCGTTCCCCTGATCTAGCACCACCTCGCTCTGCACCATCGTCTCGCTCCCGAGCTGCTATCACCCTATCGACATGATCACCGTGAGCGAGATACCAGAGCTATCCCATCTTGAGTAGTACCGATCTCTGTCGTGCCCCGGCTATCGCACCACGGGCTAGCTAGCCCCTAGAGAGACCCGCAGGAGCGTACCCCTAGAGAGAACCGGCCGCTCTCTCCCCGCGCCACGACCCTCGCTGCTCCCAGCTAGGATACCCAGGAGTCTACTAGTCCCAGACTACGATCTCCCCGCTCTCTGCCCCCGTCTCACCCTCTCTCGATCTCCCATCGTCGCTACCCTCTCGCTCCCGCGCGCGCGCTCGCCCCAATCGTCTCCCCTCTCTCGCCCGATCTCTCGCCCCTCTCGCGTGCGCCCCCCTGCTTGCGCCCCTCTCTCGCTACCCAGCTCGACTCCCGGCTCGTCATTCTCTCCCCGCTCTATACCCGCGCTCGCCCGGGCTGCGATCTCCCGGGCCTTCTCAGATCCACCTCTCGCGCCCCTCTGCTCGTGCCCCTCTAGATCCCCTATAGCTCCCAGCTGCGATGCTGCCATCGCTCTCGCCCCATCGGAGATACGCCGCGATCTAGGACCAGCGTCATCTCCCGCTCTCTAGACCGAGCGTGAGCCGCCCCTAGAGCGAGCATCCGAGCTCCTGAGTACCATTAGATATACCTCTCGCTACCGCTTGCTAGGATCGCCCCGCAGCAGCAGACCCGAAAGCGAGGCGGCCGATACTAGCGCCCATCTAATGAGACCCGCGCTCAGGCTGTTACCCTATCTCCCCCCAGGCTCTTCTCCCGAACGATATAGTCCCATTATGATGAGACCATCATCGTATCCACATCCTCTCCCCCTACTATTGCTACGCCCCGGCGCGCGCCCTCTCTCCCTCCCAGCGCCTCCCCTCTCAGTCGTCCCAGGTCTCCCTCCCCGCTGAGTAGGCCCTTCTCTCTACCCGCTTCTATCTCCCGATGGAGCGCGCTCTCCACAACGAGTCATACCGCCGGTATCCCGCTTAGGTCGATGAGCCCAGCACGCGATACCCGCTCTCGCGCCCATATGCGCTCGTCCCCGCTCGCACTCCCACATCATGCTCTCCCGGCTGCTCTCTCCCCCACTAGTCTCTCCGCATCTCTGAGTCCCATTGGCTGGCCCCTCTCGACAGCCCCTCTCGATCCCCTATCTGCTGCCCCGCTACCGATGCTACCCTCTCAGAGCCCCTCCTCGGCCCCCTACTCATACTTTCAGCCCGCATGCTATACCTATCTGCGCGACCAGCAGCGAGAGCCCAGCTTGATCCCCATGACTCCTGATCCCCTCTCTCGCCACCCAGAGCGACCCCTCGGCTGCTCACCCCCGCTCTCTGCACCCTTCGACGCTCCCAGCGTCTCGCTCCCGGTGCGCGCGCTGCCCCTGATCTGCCCTCTCTGAGATAGCCCCTGCTAGAGACCGGCGCTCTCGCCCCTGGGCTCTGCGCCCCTCTCGTCGCCCCTTCCTGCTACCCTCTGCTAGCTCACCCTACTTAGTATCTCACCCTCGTCTGAGACCCCTTCTCGTGCGACCGGATGGCTATTCTCGCCCCGCGCGATCCACCTCTATAGATGCTCCCCCTCTGTAGACTATCCCCGCTCTAGTCGCCCTCTCTGCCCAGAGCGATACCGCTAGTCTCCCATCGTCTTCGCCCAGACGCATCGACCCGCTCGGGCTGACACCCGCTAGCCCCCGGCGCGCCCCCCGCATCTGCGCCCGCGTCGCTACCTGGGGGTGCTCTCTGAGACCCTCTCAGCCCGAGCGCGCTCGCCCGGCTCTACTCCTCTCCCCGCGTCGAGCCCATCGTCGAGTAGGCGCCATCTCTGATCCCCTCTGCTCGCCCAGCTAGCGCCCAGCTCTCGAGACCGCGCTCATCTCCCCGCAAGAGAGCGCTACCATCTAGTCGCCCGCGATCTCTCCCCCGCTCAGCGGCCCCTAGCTACTCCCCGCTACGTCATCTACCCGCGTCTCCCGCCTCTCGATCCCGCGTGCTCTCCCCTAGCTCGCGCCCGCGCTCTACGCATCCCCTCGAGCTGTGCCCAGCGAGCGACCATCTCTCGCCCATGGCTCTCCGTACTCCCCCGATGAATCGCGCCACTCGCGCCCCGCTTCGCGATAGCCGCCTGTCGTCGAAGCCCCCTCGTCTATCCCCCTGCGCGCCCCGCGCGCCGCTCCCCTACTTCGACTATACCCGCGCTCTCGACCACACACTAGCTCGACCCCCCGTCGCTTCCCACGCGTGTATCGACGCCCAGAGCGCTCCCCCGAGAGCCCATAAGAGATACCCTAGAGCTACACCCTCGATAGCCCATACGCGACACGACCATCGCAGCACCCCTCGACTTGTAGCCCGCGCTCTCCCCAATCTCTGCCATCCCTCTAGAGCGCCCCAGCTATCGCCCAGCTAAAGAGCCCCTGCGCTCTACCCTCGCTCGCACCCGGCTCTCTCCCCGGCCGTCGCCCCGATAAGCGCGTCCCCTAGCGCGCTACCAGCGCGCTCTTCTCCCGATCGTCTACCAGATAGATCCCGCCTGCGCTACCGGCTGGAGCGATCCCATCTATCTCTCCACTCGGACTCTTCGCTCACGCCCCGCGCTATCCCGATATATTTTGAGCCCAGCTATCGCCCATCTAGCATCTACCCTCTAGAGCCCCATCGCGACGTGACCACTGCGATCGCCCGCAATTCTGCCGACCCCAATATAGCCCAGGCTCTCTCGTCACCTATCAGATCGACCCTCTCTCGCCCCTCTCGCTTCACCCGCTGGCTCTCGCCCCCTATCTCTCCCCGCTCTATCCCCGGCGTCTGATCGTCCCAGCTCAGCATCCCCGCTCTCTCCCCGCGCGCTCTCCCAACTAGTGGCTGACCCCTTCGTCTCGCCCAGCTCTGCACCCTCTCTGCAGTCCCTGCTAGCGCACCCCGCGATCCCCGCTGCGTAGTCGCCCGACAAGCTCCCCCTATAGTCTCCCCCTCATCTACTGCGCCCTTCTGCGCTACGGTCCCTCGCCGATTCGTTCCCCTCTCTCTCCCCGCTCCATTAGCCCCTGCGGTGGGCGTGCCCCTCTCGTGTCCCCATCTAGCGCCGCGCGCGATACATTCTCGAGTCCCGCTAGTCGCTCCCCGTCGTCTTCGTCCCGATCGCCGCTATCCCCATCGCAGCGAGACCGGCTAGCTCCCCTCGCTCGTCCCCTTCTCTCGCCCGCGCTACGTCGACCCGACCGTGCGAACCCGACTCTCCCCCATGCCATCTAGACCCGCTGATCGACCGCGCGCGTCGAGCTCGGCTCGCTCTACCCTAAAGGCCCATGCGATAGCTGACCAGAGAGAGACCAGATCGAGACCGAGGAGCGGATCCCATCTATCCTGCCTACCCTGCTCCTAGCGGTCCCAGATAGTACTGCGCCCGATGCTTTCGACCCCATACGCTCTCCCCTGCTCTCCTACCGCGATGAGCAGAGGAACCCAAGAGAGTCCCGGAGTGGGGTAGAGCGACGCCCAGAGAGAGCTCCCGCGCGAGACGACCGGAGAGAGAGCACCATCGAGCGCGACCAGAGAGATACCATCGCGAGACCCAGATCTCAGCCCAGATCGTATACTCCCCCTCTAGAGCACCAAGAGAGACCAGCTAGAGACGACTATGACCAGAGAGAGACCAGAGAGAGACCAGAGAGAGACCAGGAGAATAGACCAGAGAGAGACCAGAGAGAGACCAGAGAGAGAGAGAGACCAGAGAGAGACCCAGAGAGAGACCATAGAGAGACCCAGAGAGAGAGAGAGAGACCAGAGAGAGACCAGAGAGAGACCTAGAGAGCTACCAGAGAGAGACCTAGAGAGACCCAGAGACCAGACCAGAGAGAGACCACAGAGAGACCAAGAGCGAGAGACCAGAGAGAGAGACCAGAGAGAGACCAGAGAGAGAGACCTAGAGAGAGACCAGAGAGAGACCCAGATAGAGAGACCAGAGAGAGACCAGAGAGAGACCAGAGAGAGACCCAGAGAGACCAGAGAGAGACCAGAGAGAGACCAGAGAGAGACCAGAGAGAGACCAGAGAGAGAGACCAGTGAGACCAGAGAGAGACAGAGAGAGACCAGAGAGAGACCAGAGAGAGACCAGAGAGAGACCAGAGAGAGACCAGAGAGAGACCAGAGAGAGACCTAAGAGAGAGACCAGAAGAGAGACCAGAGAGAGACCAGAGAGAGACCAGAGAGAGACCAGAGAGAGACCAGAGAGAGAGAACCAGAGAGAGACCAGAGAGAGACCAGAAGAGAGACCAAGAGAGAGACCAGAGAGAGACAGAGAGAGACCAGAGAGAGAGACCAGAGAGAGACCAGAGAGAGACCAGAGAGAGACCAGAGAGAGACCAGAGAGAGACCAGAGAGAGAGACCAGAGAGAGACCAGAGAGAGACCAGAGAGAGACCAGAGAGAGACCAGAGAGAGAGACCAGAGAGAGACCAGAGAGAGAGACCAGAGAGAGACCAGAGAGAGAGACCAGAGAGAGACCAGAGAGAGACCAGAGAGAGACCAGAGAGAGACCAGAGAGAGACCAGAGAGAGACCAGAGAGAGAGACCAGAGAGAGACCAGAGAGAGACCAGAGAGAGAGACCAGAGAGAGACCAGAGAGAGACCAGAGAGAGACCAAAGAGAGAGAGACCAGAGAGAGACCAGAGAGAGACCAGAGAGAGACCCAGAGAGAGACCAGAGAGAGACCAGAGAGAGAGACCAGAGAGAGACCAGAGAGAGACCAGAGAGAGACCAGAGAGAGACCAGAGAGAGACCAGAGAGAGAGACCAGAGAGAGACCAGAGAGAGACCAGAGAGAGACCAGAGAGAGACCAGAGAGAGACCAGAGAGAGAGACCAGAGAGAGACCAGAGAGAGACCAGAGAGAGACCAGAGAGAGACCAGAGAGAGACCAGAGAGAGACCAGAGAGAGACCAGAGAGAGAGACCAGAGAGAGACCAGAGGAGAGAGACCAGAGAGAGACCAGAGAGAGACCAAGAGAGAGACCAGAGAGAGACCAGAGAGAGACCAGAGAGAGACCAGAGGAGAGACCAGAGAGAGACCAGAGAGAGAGACCAGAGAGAGACCCAGAGAGAGACCAGATAGAGACCAGAAGAGAGACCAGAGAGAGACCAGAGAGAGACCAGAGAGAGAGACCAGAGAGAGACCAGAGAGAGACCAGAGAGAGACCAGAGAGAGACCAGAGAGAGACCAGAGAGAAGACCAGAGAGAGACCAGAGAGAGACCAGAGAGAGACCAGAGAGAGACCAGAGAGAGACCAGAGAGAGAGAGACCAGAGAGAGACCAGAGAGAGACCAGAGAGAGACCAGAGAGAGAGACCAGAGAGAGACCAGAGAGAGACCAGAGAGAGACCAGAGAGAGACCAGAGAGAGACCAGAGAGAGACCAGAGAGAGACCAGAGAGAGACCAGAGAGAGAGACCAGAGAGAGACCAGAGAGAGAGACCAGAGAGAGACCAGAGAGAGACCAGAGAGAGAGACCAGAGAGAGACCAGAGAGAGACCAGAGAGAGACCAGAGAGAGAGACCAGAGAGAGACCAGAGAGAGACCAGAGAGAGACCAGAGAGAGACCAAGAGAGAGACCAGAGAGAGACCAGAGAGAGACCAGAGAGAGAGACCAGAGAGAGACCAGAGAGAGACCAGAGAGAGAGACCAGAGAGAGACCCCAGAGAGAGACCAGAGAGAGACCAGAGAGAGACCAGAGAGAGAGACCAGAGAGAGACCAGAGAGAGACCAGAGAGAGACCAGAGAGAGGACCAAGAGAGAGACCAGAGAGAGACCAGAGAGAGACCAAAGAGAGTGACCAGAGAGAGACCAGAGGAGAGACCAGAGAGAGACCAGAGAGAGACCAGAGAGAGACCAGAGAGAGAGACCAGGAGAGAGACCAGAGAGAGAGACCAGAGAAGAACCAGAGAGAGACCAGAGAGAGACTCAGGAGAGAGACCAGAGAGAGACCAGAGAGAGACCAGAGAGAGACCAGAGAGAGACCAGAGAGAGACCAGAGAGAGACCAGAGAGAGACCAGAGAGAGAGACCAGAGAGAGACCAGAGAGAGACCAGAGAGAGAGACCAGAGAGAGACCAAGAGAGACCAGAGAGAGACCAGAGAGAGACCAGAGAGAGACCAGAGAGAGACCAAGAGAGAGACCAGAGAGAGAGACCAGAGAGAGACCAGAGAGAGACCAGAGAGAGACCAGAGAGAGAACCAGAGAGAGACCATAGAGAGACCAGAGAGATGAGACCAGAGAGAGACCAGAGAGAGAGACCAGAGAGAGAGACCAGAGATAGACCAGAGAGAGACCAGAAGAGAGACCAGAGAGAGACCAAGAGAGAGACCAGAGAGAGACCAGAGACCAGAGAGAGACCAGAGAGAGACCAGAGAGAGACCAGAGAGAGACCAGAGAGAGACCAGAGAGAGAGACCAGGGAGAGACCACTAGAGAGACCATAGAGAGAGAACCAGAGAGAGACCAGAGAGAGACCAGAGAGAGACCAGAGAGAGACCAAGAGAGAGACCAGAGAGAGACCAGAGAGAGACCAGAGAGAGAGACCAGAGAGAGACCAGAGAGAGACCAGAGAGAGACCAGAGAGAGACCAGAGAGAGACCAGAGAGAGACCAGAGAGAGAGACCAGAGAGAGACCAGAGAGAGAGACCAGAGAGAGACCAGAGAGAGACCAGAGAGAGACCGAAGAGAGAGACCAGAGAGAGACCAGAGAGAGACCAGAGATAGACCAGAGAGAGACCAGAGAGAGACCCATAGAGAGAGACCAGAGAGAGACCAGAGAGAGACCAGAGAGAGAGACCAGAGAGAGACCAGAGAGAGACCAGAGAGAGACCAGAGAGAGACCAGAGAGAGAGACCAGAGAGAGACCAGAGAGAGACCAGAGAGAGACCAGAGAGAGACCAGAGAGAGAGACCGAAGAGAGAGACCAGAGAGCGAGACCAGAGAGAGACCAGAGAGAGACCAGAGAGAGAGACCAGAGAGAGACCAGAGAGAGACCAGAGAGAGACCAGAGAGAGAGACCAGAGAGAGACCAGAGAGAGAGACCAGAGAGAGAAACCAGAGAGAGACCAGAGAGAGAGACCATGAGAGAGACCAGTAGAGAGACCAGAGAGAGACCAGAGAGAGACCAGAGAGAGACCAGAGAGAGACCAGAGAGAGACCAGAGAGAGACCAGAGAGAGACCAGAGATAGAGACCAGAGAGAGACCAGAGAGAGACCAGAGAGAGAGACCAGAGAGAGACCAGAGAGAGAGACCAGAGAGAGACCAGAGAGAGACCAGAGAGAGACCAGAGAGAGACCAGAGAAGAGAGACCAGAGAGAGACCAGAGAGAGACCAGAGAGAGACCAGAGAGTAGACCAGAGAGAGACCAGAGAGAGAGACCAGAGAGAGACCAGATAGAGACCAGAGAGAGACAGAGAGAGACCAGAGAGAGACCAGAGAGAGACCAGAGAGATACCAGAGAGAGAGACCAGAGATAGACCAGAGAGAGACCAGAGAGAGAGACCAGAGAGAGACCAGATAGAGTGACCAGAGAGAGAGACCATAGAGAGACACCAGAGAGAGACCAGAGAGAGACAAGAGAGAGACCAGAGAGATGACCAGAGAGAGAAGACCAGATAGAGACCAGGAGAGAGAGACCAGAGATAGAGACCCCAAGAGAGAGAGACCAGAGAGGAGACCAGAAGAGAGACCAAGAGATGAGACCCAGTAGAGAGACCAGAGAGAGACCAGAGAGAGAGACCAGATAGAGTACCAGCGAGAGACCAGAGAGAGACCTAGAGAGAGAGACCAGAGAGAGACCAGAGAGAGACCATAGAGAGAGACCAGAAGAGAGACCAGAGAGAGACCAGAGAGAGACCGAGAGAGAGACCCAGCAAGAGAGACCAGAGAGAGACCAGAGAGAGACCAAGAGAGAGACCCAGAGAGAGACCGAGAGAGAGAGACCAGAGAGAGACCAGAGAGAGACCAGAGAGAGACCAGAGAGAGACCAGAGAGAGACCAGAGAGAGACCAGAGAGAGAGACCAGAGAGAGACCAGAGAGAGACCAGAGAGAGACCAGAGAGAGACCAGAGAGAGAGACCAGAGAGAGACCAGAGAGAGACCAGAGAGAGACCAGAGAGAGACCAAGAGAGAGACCAGAGAGAGACCAG